TCATGAGAGTAATGCCTGTCTTTGGCCAACTCTATTTATATTCTTCAATCCACTTTGTAACTTCCTCCACCTCTTCATCTAATATTGGCTCACTAAGCTCATATGCTGATAGGGGTTTTACCCAGGGCCCGTCTCTCTAGATTGCACTGACCATAGGTGGAAAATATGGGCTATTGGCTGCATCAAAGGGAATCCCTTTATTCTATAACTATTTACCAACATATCTCCCCAACATGTTTCTTGTACCTTTAACTATGCCTTTTAGGGTCATCTATTGTGACTTAGGCTTTGAGAGAAATGAGTCTATATGACCAGGATCTGCAATACTAGCACTCCTAGATAAGCTAGGAACTATTTTTTCAACATTTGATTCTTGTTGGCACATACTGTCACCAACCCCTCCATACATATTTGAGCTGGGCCCGCCATACATGCTCGACCTGGACTCGCCATGTATGTCTAAGCTGGGCCCGCCATACATGTCCAAGCTAGACCCACCATGCATGTCTGAGCTAGATCCACCATTCATGCCTATATCATAACCACCGGGCATTCTAAACCCATGTTCCCTCTGATATTGTTCATGTAAACTCATTTTTGTGGCCATCTCCAGGTCATTATTATATTGCTCTTCTGGATCATTCATGCTTGATGGCATATATAAACTAGTTATCTCCTCATTCATCCTATGTTTGGCAATTTTCTTATCTTTGTTAGCCTTAAGAAATGCCGTCATCTGTTTTTTTACATTACTAGGGACACTACTGCATGCAGAAACATCTCCCTTAACCCCTGCCAAGTGTTGCTTGAACCTATGTACCCCACTACTTATCACTCTGTGGCAGTAATTACAAATAATTTTGTCTTTTTTGTTGGGATCAAGTTTGACCCCATGTTGCCATACAGGGTCTTCTGCAGATCTTGACATGATTCAACTGTTTTAATATGTAAAAAGTTAAAAATTAACCTGACAATTCAACAAGAAAAATAATCACCATGTGTAGTGATAATATGTTGGGGTAGTTCATGTGGTTATATTTGTTGTTATTTGTTATTGCAAAATACTTCTATTGACAATAATATTTCCGTACATATCAATTACAAACATACAGGATAATATAATACAAAATGCAAGCTCCAAACATGGCTACAACTCAATTATCAATAACATACATTTTTTGCATTAAAAATTTAATAATAAATTGAAAAAATGCAAGATAATATAATTGTTATACATGCCATGATTTTTTTACAATAATATTCACTTTAATTCCTCATGATAATACAATTTAACAACATGTATTTTTTCCATTCAAAATTTTAAAAATTGAAAATACATTTTTAATGCAAAACTACATTAAAAATATAATACAGTTTTGCATTAGAAATATAATAACATGTATGTTTTTGTATAAATATTCTATCAACATGCAATTTTTCAACAAAAACTTTAACAATAAAAATTAAAAATATGGTTTAATACCTCATGATAATCAAAACCTGGTCACTATTTTCACATCTTTTTGGAAAATCACGATTTTTCAAAAGAAATCGATCATGTACTAAAAAAAACAAACAAATCTTCACAGAACCACCTAACGTCTGTCATTCCAACTCAAAAATGCATTAACAACAAATTAAAAAAATACAGTTTTACATTAAAAATATAATAACATGCATTTTTTTGCATTAATAATCTATCAACATACAATTTTTTCAACAAAAGCTTTAACAATAAAAAAAAATTTATGGTTTAATACCTCATGATAATCAAAACCTGGTCACTATTTTCACATTTTTTTCGGAAAATCACGACTTTTAAAAAAAAATCGATCATGTATTAAGAAAAAAACAATTCTTCACAGAGCCACCTAACATCAGTCATTGCAACTCAAAAATGCATTAACAACAAATTAAAAAAATATAGTTTTGCATTAAAAATATTATAACATACATTTTTTTGCATAAATAATCTATCAAATTACAATTTTTTCAATAAAAACTTTAACAATAAAATTTAAAAATATGGTTTACTACCTCATGATAATCAAAACCTGGTCACGATTTTCACATCTTTTAGGAAAATCATCATTTTTCAAAAAATTCGATCATGGATAAAAAAAAAAAAAAAAAAGTACAGCAAACTCAAATAATAAAAATTAAAAATATGGTTTAATACCTCATGATGATCAAAACCTTGTCACGATTTCCACATCTTTTCCGAAAATCACAAATTTTCAAAAAATTCGATCATGGATTACAAAAAAAAAAATCTGTTCTTCATAGAGCCACCTTACATCAGTCATTTCAACTAAAAAATCCACCTCCAAACGAATAAATTATATCCAATTGAGTACATATTTTGATAAACAACACTATAAGGAATCAAAACCCTAAATTATGAACACATTATCATCAATAAATCAAATCAAATCAATTAAATTGAGCAAAAAAAAAAAAACGCAGTTCTTCATAGACAACAGTCATTGAATCTAAAAAATGAAGCTCAAATTGAATAAATCAGATCAAATTGAATACATCTGATTATAAACAAGACTATCACGATTAAAAACCCTAGAAATCTAACACATTATTTGTAATATATCATGAACAATTGATCGAAAGTCGGAAAAAAAAAAAAAAACAGCAGAAATTTTTTTTCACAGACATCACTGTGTTCTTCTAAAAACTCAGGTTGTAATTGAGTAAATTAAATAAAATTGAATATGGTAAATGATAAAAGATACAATAAAGATTTAAAACCCTACAAATTTAACTGATTATTTTCGAACTATGAACTGAAATTGATCAAATGGTAGGAAAAAAAAAAAAAAACGCAGAGTTCTTACCTGGTTTCGTGAACCCGTGGCTTCAATATCCAAATTAATCTATTTTTATCAAAGATAATCACAAATTCGTAATAGAAATTTCTAATGAACGCATTTACGATCAATATGCCTCAAAATTTTCACAGATTCATGCCCTATTTGACATGAAACAAAAGGAAAAGCGGACCCTAAAACCTGCAACTTTCATGATAAAAAAACATGAAATTTTTCCGCCATTTAATGCATGAAGGGCTGAAAAAAGCTGCATAAAGCCTGAATAATCTCGAGGCAAAAAAAGAAGAAAAATGATAAAAAAAAAGACAAAATTTGAAGAAACCCGTGAAGAACACTGTGCAGCCTGTGTTCTTCATGGGACTCATTGATTCGGTACAGTGAATCGGCGATTCACTGTATAGAATCGCCCGGTTCTCTCTGAAATCAGGCGATTCCGTGTATAATGCCGGAACCGGCACGACCTGTGCCGATTCTCGAGTCAAACCGGGCGAGTCTGGTTTGACTCGGCATTTTTAAAACACTAGTGACAATCTATTTGCAGGTAATGTATTACACAGTAATCAGTAATGTATTACGCATGTAATATATTTTACAGACAATATATTTCCATGTATCAAAACAGCCCCTAAAGGAAAAAGAGATGAGTGAAATAAGGGGATATTATGAAAGATATTTAAGATGGGAGTTGTCACATATAAGTATTAATTGCAATTAATTACGAGTAGTGCAAGTTAGAGAAAATAAAAAACACTAGCACATTAAAAAAAGAGTTAACGTGGTAGTGATAGAGAAATAATGAGTTTTTTTATTATATGTTTTTTGAAGTGATCACATTTAAAAGCATTAATTACAACTAGTGCAAGATAGAGAAGAGAGAGAGAGGGGGGGAGAGAAATGGTTAAATGTAGGAAAGGAGAGAGTTATGATAAATAAAATGTAAAAAGATTTTAGAAAAATAGATTATATAAATAAGAGAGAGACATTTGAGAGGGAGAATTTTTTAGTGAAAACGTAGATGATATAAATAAGGAAGAGATGATAGATTTTAAGAAAATAAATGGAAGAGGGATTTTAATAAAGAGGAAGAGAAATAGAAATAGTAGGGAGAAAAATTGTAAATGATATAAATAAGAAAGAGATAAAAGAAAGAATTTAAGAAAGATGTAGGAATATCCTTGGCAGTTTATATACGCTACACATTGACTAAGGCATTCCACAAGATATATGTGGGGCTGGTTAGAGAGCTGGAAGTTCAATAGCAAGGTAGAATATTACAGGGCTTTCTTATAACAATGTGCCAGAGTTTTTTCTTTATTTTATTTTATTATTATATATTTTTCATAGTTCTAACATAAAATTGAAAAAGATGCTAAATTCAATGAGAACCACTCTTTCTGTATTGGCCATGAGAGGAGAAGAAAGAGAGGCTTTGATATTGGGGGACTAGTGTTCATGGGAGAAGGAGAGAGAAGCTTTGAGATTTAGGGGATTGCTCTATTTGTTTTAGTTGAGAGAAACATACTTCTCATGTTTTGGCCATATTTTTATAAAGGGCGCTGTTTTTATGAGGTTGCAACCTTAAAGAAACTTTAAAATTTTATTATAACATATAATTTTGTTGTAAAAAAAATTTAGTATTATTTTAAAATATATTTTTATACCTTAGAAAATTTTAAATTTAAAAAATAGTTAAAATCAAGTAGATCTATAAATATATAAAAATCTTGAAAATGGATAGTATCGATAATGTGTTACAAAATGTATTATTTTCAAGAGTCAAAAACTTGTTTTTTAATAGTCATGTATGTCGATGTCGAGATGATCGGTTAGAGGGTTTTTTCAACATTAAAACAATATTTTGGATAGATTTTTGGGGTGCATCTAATGATTCTACATTTTAAGGTAACAACCTTATATAAACTTTGCCTTTTTAATAAATTTGGTTTTTAAAAAACCTAGGTGTATTTTGGTTTTTGAAAAATTATTATCTAAGTTTTTGAAAAATCAAAAAATAGGTAAGTCTTTTTTTAAAAAATAATTTTTATGAAGTTAAAAAATGAACATAAATGTAATAATATAAATTATTAAATATTTTCATAATAACATAAAATAAAATAGATATTTATATAATTTTCCCTTATTTTTACGAGCTCGTTTAGAGCATTAATTTTTACGAGCTCCTCGATCTCTCTCTCTTCATGGATTTGCAGAAACCCTAACTTCTGCACGTTGACTGCCGCACTCGCACTCGCACTTGCACGCGCACGCGCACGCGCACGACTCCATTGATGCTTCAGATGAATCTGGAGCCCCGCTTCACCACCGATTGGCGTGAGAAGATTCTATGCAACACCGAATATTTCCTCTAAATTCGTCAAAAAATCCCTGAACAATTCCTCTGCTATCGAAGCCCCCATTTTTCTGCTTCAATTTAGTGTTGTTTCTCTGATTTGTAAAAAATGGGGAAAAATCAGGCATACAAGGCCATGCAGAGGGCGAGGATGGGCTCAACTTCTGGTGTTCCAGAGGAGGTTGAAGATGGAATGGTTTGTACCCTTTCATACCATTTCCTTCTTTTTGTTTTTGTTTTTGCTTTTGCTTTTGCTTTTGAATGTTTTGATTTTTCCAACGTGTTTCTTAAATTTACTCTAGCCGATTCAATGTTTGTCTGCATTTGATTTTTAGGGTTTTTTATTTATTTAGAGATTTGTGATAGGATGGATTTGTTCATGCATAGTTAAACTAGGGTTTGGGGGAATTGGGGTTTTCAATAGTTTGGTTAATATTGAAGTCGCAATCAAATTTGAAGGTATGTTGTGATGCGGTGTTAGTGGTCAGCTTTGAAGTTCAAAAATCACAATTTTTTTTTGGAATTTCTTCTGAAAAATGCATAAAAATTGAACTTATTGAGTAGGGGAAGTGATTTCGATTCTCTCTCTTCCACATGATTAATAGGTCAGAAAAGCCGCCATTTCTACTTTCTTTCAATTCCAGAATATGTTATCTATAAAAAAATACAATTGGCATATTTTTATCTTTGCTGACTAATGATCAATTTGAGTAATATGCCAACTTAATTTGAATATCTCATGCTACTAATGTAAAAACTAATGGGTCATATCGTGATTTTCTTATTATTTTTCTTCGATTTTGTCAATGAGTTGAGGACATGGTACATGAATAAAAAGTTGGTTGCTCGACATCCCACTCCAATGCTTGGAATTAGGACCCCATGGGCCCTCACAAGAATGAAAGCCAGAGGGATCCCTAAGGCATAATTGCAATAGCAGCTCATCCAGGACCCAATGGTAGTGTGAGTTCGGAACATATTATATAGCCTTGGGTTCAATATCTTTTGGTATTTGACTCGTTTGAAGGACTTTCAAAAGGCTTGTAGGCAATTGTCTCTACTGAGGAAACAGAGAAGCCTTTCTTATGGATCGCAAGATTTTATACTGTTTCTAATTGGGCTCCTTGACATTGAAAGCGGTTTCACTTGAAAACCTTAGAAGGGTCTGCTATTCAAATATTATAAAAAAAAGGAAACAACAAGGTTACATTCAGAAAAAAGGTAGGAAAAATGTCAACAGAATCCTACGTAAACTCTTAAGACTCTGAAGCCTAGTAAAACTTCAAGACTCTAAATCTTTTTAAACAAAAGTATTAAAGCACAGGTCAAATCAGCGTAGCTGGCTTCATCATTATTACACACTCATTAAGTCTTAAATTTCACTAAGTTTGTATTGTTTCTGGAAACAAGGTGATCCAGTTGAATGAAACCAAAAAAACAGAAAACTGAAAATTAAAACTAGATTTTAGGCATGAATAGAAACAGAATACACTTCAAGTGAGCCTACATATTTTTCTTTTCCTGATGGTGAGGCCATATCATTTTCTTTTTAACAATAATATGTTAAATGGAAAAGACCAGATCATTTTCTACATGTAGAAAATATATTTATTTGCGACAAGGAATTGGAAAGGTGATTGATCAGCAACTATAGAAAACTGTGTTCTCCTTTTGCAGGAAAGACAGTTCTTTCTTCATTTGCCGAAAATAATTCTTCTTTAAGTAATGGATAAGGTTTAAATATCAAAAAACAAGTAAAGAGGTTAGTTCTTCTATTGCATTCTTTTCCATTACTTTTCCGTTTTTGTTCCAACCTATTTGACTCAAAACAAATGACAATAACAATAGTGTTATGCATAAACTTGAGTTGGTACTTCAAGTATAATAATTATTAAGCTTCAATTTCCATAACAGTTGTCATGGAGACAATATATAGATCACATTTCAAGTAACTTCAGATGCTTGAAACTACATTTTTTTCATATAGTTTAAATATATCAAACTCTGTTCAAAAGACAACCGTATTTCAATAGCTTCTGAAAATTCCTGCTGGATTTCCTTAACATCCCAAAGTTATCTATGGCCACATCTTTGGCGTAGGCATCCTCTTTTGGGAACCAAACACAGAATCAAAATAACCATGAGACTTCTAGTTAAAGGATCAGTCAGGAGGCCTACAAACAATTGCAAGAAGAATTATTGGATCCTGCATGGAATATATACTACATGTAAGGCTGCACTCTACAACCTTTTTGGCCTCTTAACAAGCATTAGAGGATAATATGCCTCGTCTTCAAATGTGGTGCAACATCTTCTCTATGTACAATTTGATTGGACTGTTGTTTGCATTGATTGATGATGATTTTGTGGTTATATGGGATACACGTAGTCTTAATATGATTTTCTGATACCAATTTTTTAATACTTTATAATTTCTTTGGCTTTCATGTTGTGTCCATCCAGCTGTAGCTAATGTAGTTGGATGTGAGCTCTAGAGGTCATAGATAGCATCTTTTAGTCATTTCTGTTAGTTAGTTGACGATTTCCGTCCATGGAAAGTTACTGACGAGGACAGTCACAGATGGATGGTTCTTTTCATTCACCAGAGTGGCATGCGGCTCGTTTGGCAAGTCTGAAAACTTCTCATACAATAACTTGGGAAGAATTCAAGAGAAAGCAAAAGGTAATGCTTCTGGATCATTGTAGGAAAATGTTAAAAGAATGCAGTTTCCCTGTTGATTGACCTGTCACCTATTTACATTTGTTACTTGGTTTGATCTTCTCGAGATTATTATTCTCTGTTATATTGATTTTGTTTTTTATGAAGTCTGTGATATATTGATTTCAAGAACTTCTAGGGCACTTTTGGTAGGTATGAAAATGTTTGCATGATAATATTTTTTCATCTGAGTTAACCTTTATTCAAAAAATAATAATATTTTTTCATCTGAAAATTACGTTCGCATGTTTGGTATGCGACAAATACAAATGAAAATTTTTCCATGGAAATTTTTTTTACCACAATTGGAGCAGTTTATGTGAAAATAGAACCCCACCTCTTGAGGTGCAGAAATACTTCTGCGGCCTTATTTCACACACTGGAGCCGTCCACTTTATCAAATACAATTAATTTTGCCAAAATACCCCCACGAATTAGAGAGAGAAACTATTTCAAATTTTAAGTTTTAGAGAGAGAAAGTATCTTAAAATTTTAGAGAGAAACTATACCAAAATTCATGGAGAGAAGAAACTACACGAAAATTTTTATAGAGAGAAACTATCTCAATGTTTTTAGAGAGAGAACCTGTCTCAAATTTTTATGTTTTAGATAGAGAAAATATCTTAAATTTTCAGTGAGAGAAACTATATTAAATATTTGAGAGAGAAGCTACCTGAAAATTTTGAGAGAGAGAAACTATCTCAAAATTTTTAGAGAAAAAGTATCTCAAATTTTAAGTTTTAGAGAGAAAGTATCTTAAAATTTTAGAGAGAAAGTATCTTAAAATTTTAGAGAGAGAAACTATATCAAATTTTAGAGTGAGAAACTACTTAAAAAGTTAAAGAGAGAAACTATATCAAAATATCTCAAAAATTATGTTTTAGAGTGAGAAACCATCTCAAAATTTTTGGATGGAGAAACTATATCAAATTTAAAATTTTAGGGAGTTAAAACTATTTCAAAAATTTCAGAGAGAGAAACTGTCTCAAAATTTCAAGTTTGTTGTGTTCTCGCTCTCAGCCTGTTTCCAAATGTGTTTACCAAACATGAAAAAAAGTATGCTTGAGTAATTTCTTTCCTGTAAGTTGTTTGCATAAATAAATACTTTTCCTGTAAATATTTTGTGTTTAACTTTCATGCGTACCAAACAACCCTTAGCTTTATCTTCAACTATATGTTAAAAATGATACCTCCTCCTTGTTATTGCTGGAGTCAATATCATGCATGGCATATACTAGTAGTTCTTGGTGATTTGAACCCTTCAAAGTAAATACATACCAAGTCAACTTCTCAAAAATAGAAAATTTGTTGACACCCTTTGATGGACATTTACTTGATAAGATAGGATACTGGGAGCTCTTATGGTTACCACGTGATGTACTTGGGGACTTTGGCTTTTGAGAACTGGTGCTTATATATGTACAGAAATCTGATAGCAATAATATGTCATTCAGTTGCATGAAGCCAATTGTTCTCAAGAGAGAAAATCTCCTTTATACAAGTACTCAAGCAGGGGAGTTTCATACTACGTTTTCTTCTTAAATATAATCAACTCTTCTTGCTTTGCGTTCCCCCTACTGCCTGGGATGTAATTTTCCCATATTCATTTTAGGTTCGGAATAAGAAGGGGAGCACAGAAAGATGATTGATTTTAAATAGAATTTGTTTATTGCACAATCTCACTGGGGAATGTCCCCTGTAATATTCTTTCCTTCTATTTCAGAATGGTGGCTCGTAGGTCTCTTTCAGTATTGTGTGATGATCCTCTCATTTGTATTGTGGTCTCTCCTGGGATACCACTTGTAAGATGTATAAGCTAGGTTGTTAGAGAGTAATCCCTTTCTCTTAGTAAACACAAGAACACAATATTGCGTGCCAAAAGAGATATTAACATATCTTGTTGGTAGTACAGATATATAATCACAGCTAAAAAGTTGGTGGTATAGTGCATGCATTCATTATGAAATATGAACCATGAACTCTTATTTTAAGTGGGATTAATTGAACCAGTAATGGGTTTGGAGCAAGATCCAACTGACCTTATAAACACTGGAATGGTTTTCTAATTGCTGACTTCTTGTGGGAGCTATACTGAGGATTCTCCATACTATTAGGTAACCTACAAGGTAAAGGTGTCTATTATCTGTTTCCTTTTTCTGATAGTGTTACTTTCTCATTGAATTAGAAACAGAACTTTTAAAGAGGCATAGGGACTGTGGCAGCTCAAATCTCGAGAACATAAATGCATGGCTAGTAACCCCAAGTTTGGAACGACTGTCTACCAACAAGTTCACTTATTTCATGAGACCCACTTAAACCTTAGAAGTTGAAAACTAGTAAAATAATTTAGCAAAAGAAAAATGAGAATCCCCTTTAACAAGTTTCAAAAAAGAAAAACAGAAAGAAAAAAAGAAAAATGTAGTAACTTGTTTACAAGAAATAAAATTAAGGTTTTTTAAATCCATTAATGGTTTTCCAAGGATCCCCTTTATTAATTTGGGGTAAACAATGAAAATTCTATGGCGCCTTTGACCTTTGGTTAATGCGTCTTGGATCAGAAATCCTTACTAGTCCTTCCTTATTCCCCCTGCCCATGATTATCACCACCACCACCAAATAAAGGAAAGAAAAAAGAACCTAAATAACATTTCAAAAGAAAAAGAGAGAATAAAATGGACCTGAATGAGATTTTGAGCAACCCTTATATTTATATGACATCCTTGGTGGGAAAACCCAAGGGGTGGGGGGTGGGGAAGCTACCCCGTGTCCAATTAGAGGTAGATAGGATATCCAATTGCCTATTTTACTGGCTGAAATGGTATCCTTCAATTGGTTTTTGGTTCAGTAATTATACTCTAACTGATGAGTATCCTTTCCGAATTTGTGCTGTTGATTAAGTACTAGTATAACACATAACAACAGCTGCTTAATCCACCACTTGCTCGGAATGACTCTCATTAGGGTGCTTGTTTTTCTCATGAAACTCATCCTTCTTACAGCATTGGACCAAAAGCAACAGGAGGTGTAGCTGATTTCCTTCTCTTTCTCCTATTATTGTTTTATAAAATGAATAGAGAGATGATATTGCTATTATGGTGTCTCTTGATACATTGGGGCATGCTCTTGGTTGTTTTGAAAACTTATGGGCATGCCATGGTTCATTATTTCCAAGGAAAATGTTTAGTGCTCTTCCTCCATTTATCTATTGCATAAAAGGATGGCATGAAGTGTTCATTATTTCCAAATAAAATTCTCAGATCAATATGAATTGACAAAAGATAGGAACTAGAGGCGTTCAATTGTTTTAGATGCTGCAATTTTTGGGCTGCGGATTATATTATTGGGGAATTATCAGAAATATACCTTAATTTTTACCTAATTGGAAAAACACCTTCAACTTTCATAAATCTCGTCCACACTTTTTTTTCTTAATTTTGGCATTTTTTTACCAAAATAGCCTTCACGGTAGTCGTATTACTATAATGACTACCACATTACAGCACTTTAAGTATCGTAATTACCAGGCTAAGAATTACAATACTTTAAGTACCGTAATGATTAGGCTAAGCATTACGATACTTTAAAGATAGTAATGCTCAAATTTCTAATAGCATTACGGTCTTTAAAGTACCGTAATGCTTAGCTTGGTCATTACAGTATGTAGCGTACCGTAATACGTACCCTGGTCCTTACGATACTTAAAGTACTGTAATGCGGTAGTTATTATGGTAATACGACTACCGTGATGGCTATTTTGGTGAAAAAACTGCCAAAAACGAGGAAACAAGGTGTGGACGACGTTTATGAAAGTTAAAGGTTTTTTTCAAATTAGACGAAAATTAAGGTATATTTCTGTTAATTTCCCTATATTATGGCATGATGTTCCAGGGTATTTGGTAAATGGGTTTCAAGGACTGAATGACTTCGGAGGTGATAAAAGGTGTGCAAAATGATTCTAACAAGTTCGTGAGATACTGAGTGGGAGATGGAGCTCGCCAGCTTTTGGCATTCAGGTTGGTATGGGGAGACCCCTAGGATTATCCTTCGCCACTTTATGTGGAGATGCTCCAGATGCATGTGTTGCGAAGTGCTTTTAGAGAGTAGGAGGTCAAGTGTTTTGGTGCCCATACTTAAGAAGGAACCTCACGTTTGAGATTGAGGAATTTTCAACTCTTATGAGGACTCAAGCGTGTGTATACCACAGCAGGGAGTTGATAGGCCGTTTTGATCTTGAGGTAGCTCAGATGCTTCTCTTCAAGGTCTTTCTATATGGCCCTTCTGGGGATATCTGATAGATATCCTCCCTGCTATCTGGTTCGGAGGATCATGATCTGACGAGGATGTTGGCGTTTTGTTGGTCAGCAATCAGCATGCCAAGAGTGTATCATTACTATTGACCATCTTTAACATAGGTGTTGCAGATTCCTAACATGTGTCATGCGTTGGGAGAAGCCCAAGTCGGTGTACCACCTATTTATCTGTTGCATCCTTTGTGGGGGTCATGTGGTCTTTCACTCTTGACCTTTTTGGGTTGTCTTGGGTTATGCTACCATCATTAGCCATTTTAATTTCAACAAGGCTAGGTTATTGTGGTAGGTGTGCATCATGGCCACTCTGTGGGATATTTCAAGGGAACAAATACTAGGAAAATAATAGGGTTTTTCAAGGGGAGATAGGAAGGAGGCACATCTTTTGTGAACTCATCCAAGGCCAGGTCAGGCTTTCCCAAAACTAGGCTTAGGGAACGAATTTTATTGCAGATTGACCAACCATTGTGAAAAAATCACAACTTTTCAATATCAGGCAAAACTGTCCAACCCCACATTGTTTCTTTTCCTCAAATTTAATGTATCCACTGGATAGATCATTCAAAAATGGGTTTATGGATGAAATTGCAGCTCAAATTGGTCTCTCTAGGCTCTCAAATCTCAAAAATGGTGAATAAGAAGGGGGCTGACATCTGCCCCCCTTTTTAACTGAGTTCATATGTGGTGCTTGGGCATCCGCGTACTGCAAAACTCAGGCAAGTCAGCCCGAGTTGTACAGTGCTCGGGCTAGTCTCTTGAGTATTTACCCGAACACTGTACATATAGCGCCTATCCTCCAAGTTGGAGGCCATTCCAGGATTGGAAACCTGTGGAGACCAAGCGACAAGTCCTTTGGACTCGCCCAACTCGGTAAACTCTGATGTACAATGTTAACATTTCAATAAAGTTTCGGTTGCTGATAAAATAAGGGGTTTTAAAGGGCTGTTTTATTGTGAATGGAAAACTGGTACTTGCTTTCCAGGTGTTTTTTCTTGACTGTTAGTTGGCAAGAACTGTTCCCTGGTTTTTAGTGGTCTATAATGAACATCTTTCTGAAAGTATAGTCTGGATTATGAGAATATAGCTTTTCAAATGGCTCTCTTGTATAATTTGGGGAAGCCTGGAATAAAGGAGCAATTGTACAGAATATCATTAGAATTGCTTTTTTCATGTTTGACTTGCAGGATACTTTTATAACTCTTTGCTTAACGATAATTTATATTTTATGGTTGTGAACCTGGACCAGTACTGAGATTTGAGAAATTTCCATTAGGATAATGGCTCCTTGTTTCTGTTCATCGTCTCTTAGAAACAAATACATGTACAGCTCTTTTTGAATCTAAGAAATGTTCTGCTTAGTTTAGAGGAGAAATGGTGTTCTTTTAGTAATTGACACATCTTGCATGATTGTTTCTTTTAAATACTTTGCAGTTCTAACTATTAGAACCATTTCAAAGCATTCTTTACCATTTCATGATTCCCAGGAAGATGAAGCGAAAAAAGGTGAGCTAGAGGCTGATAAAGATAGAATGATGAAAGAGTACAGAGCACAGTTAGATGCTGAAAGGGCAAGCAAACTAGCTCATGGGCGGAATCACTCACATAAGAAGTCCAATCTCAAGAAGGGTGGGTAGTGGGATGTGAAAGTCTATTCTGCGTTTATTGTGCTTTAGTTACATTGCTTTGTTGTCCTTTAGTTGCGTCCATGCTGAGATGATCTTGTGGATGCAGAGAAAAGGGAGAGGGATTCAAGGAAAAAAGGCAGCAAGAAGAGAAAGGTTTCTTCTATTGCTAAAACTTGATGTTGTACACCAATGCTTGCTTTCGTGTTGCTGCTGTTGTTATTGGCAATGCTGTTTTTCACTCATTTCTATAAGAATATTATTTGGGTTATCAAGAATATTAATTGGGTTATCTAGCTGGGATTCAGAAGTTGGATGCCATGCTGTGGCCCTTTATCGAAACCCCTGAATCTGAGCCAAGAGCCTTAACCCCATACAATTAGTTTTGATTTTAGAGGTTTTCTATATTTTATGCATTTACTCCATGGGTGCTGTTGTTGAGGTTGTACATGCAGAATGGAAGGATGCATGCGCAAATCTGAGAAGCATTCAGAACTTGAATTGATTCAACTTCACTAGAGCTGCTTTATGTTTATGTGCGTTATGATCATTGACTGGTTGATCTTCTACTAAGTTATTTTGAAGTGACTAAATGAGCATGAACAAAGCTAATAATATACTATTGTGCAAGAAGTGAACTTGGTGAACCAGGCAACACCTAGACACCCATGCCATATCGACTAAAAGCTGATATATTCCTTTTAGATATTTGTATGATTTGGCATGTTGTCCTTGTGGAGGAAGAAGAAGTTGGATAACCAATTTGGAAGGTCTTTGAGATGGCTAGTAAGATAGGTTTTTGTTATGCACGGTTGGTAGCTGATTGATGGCTATTTGATGATGTGGAACACGTGGAATAAACAAAGGGCAGATGGGGGGCGCTAATGGTTCTATTGTATTACTTAGAACGATGGGCTACCCATATCTCATGTCTAGTTTAATCACATTCACTTGTTCACTTTCCTTTGTGGGCATTGGACGAGAGTTGAATGAAGTTCTATTATGGCACAACTAGATCGCTTCTTTGTTTCTCTTGAATGGGGAAATAATTATCAAAGTTCACCAGGCAAGCCATCATGACTCGCGAGACAATTTTTCTCTGCCATTTTATGGGACATAAGGAATGACGTGTAGGTTTTTGACCGCATAGGTACCAGGAAGGTAGGGTGAAACAACTGAAAGCTGTGTTTAACTTCTGAGGTATATATTGAAACGACATTATCAAAAAATGCTACATTGAGATAAGCTGTAGATGTTGTAGGCAGGTGCAGGAGCGGAAGTGGGAGCAAGAGCTGGGGATTGTTGCTCGCTAGGAGGTCCCTAGGTTGGCAGTGCCTGTATCATAAATATTGAAAAATGGAGAATAAAATGTTAATAGCATTCTAAATAATACTTGGATGCAAAATTAGTATATTAAAATATATTTATTATGCTTACAAATTAGCCTTGCTCAAATAAAATTTGAGAGTAATAACTTTTGTTTATTTACTTGAATCTTATCATATATGCACCCTCACAATTATATACTAGATATTTATTTGATCTTGCATTGTATATGTTCTGGTCAAATCATATATAAGTCCTGCCATTTTCTTCACATAGCTTTGTTTTAATTAAAGAATAGAAATATAAAGCATGCGATAGACGAAGCAAATAATTATAGAAACATAGAGATAGAAGAAGACAGAGAGATGGGAGAGAGATCATTCTCTCTCTTATAAACATTTTTCAAAAAGATAACCAATCATTTTCCCATATCCAATTGTGACCTAAGTTGGACCTTCCATTCCCTACATTAATCACGATTTGGTAGCACTGTATTTAAAATTTTCTATTTGGATTGATGCATATTTAAGAATTTTTTTCCCTTTGAAAAGTTTATGGTACATGGATTTGAATAAATTATTTCTTTTTTTTTTCTTATTGATATGCATTTATTGCTTTCCTCTTTTGGATGGATATGAATTCGTTGTTTTTATCTGTTTGACATTCACTTATTGATTTTTTTTAATCGACATGCATTTATTTCGTATTTCCTTTAAAATTTTTAATAAAGAACATGGTTGTCTGACTTGTTGACCTGCCCCTATTGAAACAAGCTCGTGCTTTCGCCAACATGGGATCGCAGCTGGACTGCAATCCCACTGGGGGATCATGGGACATGTTCCTCGAGTGGATGATCACCCATATTAGGAGAATATCATAATGCAGTAAATAATGACGAGGCTGCCAGCTATAAGAGATTGGAAGATGCTGGTCTTTTATATGATTGTGAATCTTCTATTGCAGCGTTGATTTTTCCATTCTTTTGAAGTGGACATGGCTTCTTTCCTAAAAGTAGGGAAGGTTCATGTTACTATCATAGGGTTCTCTCAGAGGCTTTATGGCTAGTTTCAATGGGCCACAACAACATGGACTTTGAAGAGCTCTTGAAGATAGAAAAGTGAACGTGGCAAACCCCACTGGTCTTTTCAGTTTATTTTACAAGGATAACAGGGTATTGTTGTGGGAAGATGTTGTGGATCTTTTGTCCTAGTTTTCTCTGGAGTCTATGTTGAACGGAGGAATTTTACACTTGAAATCCTTGACACTGACTCGTGTGGATAAAATGGTCTAGTGCACAATCGATCCTAGATTTGATGAAGACATTGTTCCTTAGGTTAAAGATTTGTGTTTTATCAACTAGCTGTTTCTAATTTATCCTTGTCAAAAAGAAGTGATGCAAATCATGCATGATGGAGCTCTTATGTAGCAGAGCCCAAGCATCATTTAGGAATTTAAGGGCTTATAAGATGTTTGTGAAAAAGCCCTACCTCTTATGTTTTATTGGGGTTTCTTGGATTGTATGGTGTCCAATTTTATTGTGGAGAGGTTTTAACATCTCAAACTAATGCATTTTGCTTTGTAAGTTATTGTTAGGGGGTGATATTTGTTTAAGAGTTGGTTGAATTGTTGATGTTTACCGGGGATGGGGCAAAATCGATGAAAATTTGGCTAAAACCTTGGGTTTGAAAAAGTAGGAGATCCTGTTGACTTGTATTTGGCTATAATGAATTGGAAGCCTTGGTGAGTGTTAGGGGTCATGAGGATGAAGGTTATTTGGAAGTTGGAAGCCCCAGTGTGTGACTAAGGTCCTACGGATAAGGTTTCAGGAGGTGTTTCAGCTGGGAATGTCATTCCAGCAAGTTTGATGTCGATTAAGCCCCAACCCTTGATAAATTAGGGGTGGCAATGGGCCAATCGGCCGAGTGACATGGCCTGATTTAGATGGGGTTTGGCCACCTATATTAGGTTGCATCCCAGGCTCAGGCCTGAGAACTCGGGCTCAACTGCTGTTAGGGCTGAGCCCTGGACTGGCTCTTTGCACCTGACAGGCCATTATTACAACACACACACACATATTTAATGTCCACACATTTCTACCTATAAGTCTTTGCATCTCAAGTCCAAATCTGGTGTACCCTGCACTACCAAAAAATAAATAAAGAGGTAAACTTCTAGTTTTAATCACTTCATTACTGCCACTTTGCCCCACTTTTGACCATAAAGTACCTTTTTCACTTGTAAATAATATTTTTGAATAGCAGAGATGCAGATGTTGAGATGGATGAGCGGCAAAACAATAAAGGATAGAATTCGGAATAAAAATATATAACGGAACTTAGGTGTGGCTTCAAGAGGCAATAAGATGAGGGAAGTAGATTTTGGTTGGCTGGCCTGATACAGCATAGTTTAGAAGTGCGATTTGGTTCAAGTGGAAGGCTCTAAAAGGGCAAGGGGAAAGCTCAAAAGGACATGGATAGAAGTGGTGATAAAAGATATGGTAACTTTTACAGTTAACAGCATCAAAAAAAAAAAAAAGATATGGCGACTTTTGGTCTTATTGAGCGTATGACCCTTGATAGATAAGAATAAAGGAACATGATTCAGGTGGCTGACCCCAAATCATTGGGATAAGGTTTGGATGATGATGATGGATGGATTGAGATTTGTACCATGGAGAACTTCTGGTAAAACACGATTTCTTTAGACCGATTTAGATTGATGAGTCAAAATCACTAATGGAACTCCTTATTTTCTCCATTTTTAGCATCTTCAAATAAAGAAAATACTCACATCTGGATTGGCTCAATTATCTTTGGAAGTTTGGATGCATGGATCAAAAAGGCCACATGGGAGCCAAATTCACAAACAAAAATCAATTGGTTTTTCTCCATATATTCTTGTTCGTTTTAATTTTTTTTGGTCTCAGAACAATTGGGTAGAACAGAACTCTGGTTTTGTAGTTTTACTATTCAACCAACATTGAAACCCCAAAGATCAACTATTATTTCTTAATGCTTAACGATCAAATGCTGGAGTGCCTCAACATGGCACACACACCCCAGTTTCTGATTCCTTCCTCAAATCTGACAACCATAACTTCCTAGGTTCCCCAATTGTCTAATGTCTCCCTCAAATCGTATGTAACCCTAGATTCCCCATTATTCTGATTTTTCTCTCAGTCCTCACTTGCGAATCAATGAAACCTCTAGGCTGGAGTTGTGAATTCTGATCAATGTAGAATACCTCTTAAATCAATGCTACTCTTCAAAGGCACAGGTCAGTTGCTCTGCTACATCAGATTGCTGTGATAAGGGATGGATGATCCCTTTGAGAACATTCAGTGGAGAGGGAGTCAAGGATTATACTCTTTCTACTGAAGGACATGGAAAAAAATATCGGAAGCAGAAAAGAGAGAAAAAAAGGGCAAGAAATGGTTAAGGTCTGGAAAGATTTATAAGCTAGTTTAGTTTATTATATGCTGCACTCACTGCTCAAAAAAATCTAGGGGGCTCATATGAGTAATATACTTTTTAAACTGAATTGGTTTGTAGAAATGAGATCGAGTCTGAATTTACCCTTATAACAATAAGGGACTAGAAAGACACAAATTCGAGCTTGCCAATTTTTCGAGGGGAAATTTTTTAGAATTAATAAGCCTCACCCAGTCTGAAGCACCTCCTGGGCCAGGCTACACCAAATCCAGGATCTGCAGTTTGGCAAAGGAATGGTGTCAGGCCTTCCTCAGCCTGTGTGAGGCTCGGTCCTAGCGTCTAGGCTCTTGGTCCATGCTCAGGCCAACTCTAGCCTGTTGGGTTGTCACCCCTATTAATTAAAGAAACTTTTTGATAGGGCTGCAGCCCTATGAAAATAAGTAAAGTCTCACCTCAAAGCTCATTGAAAATTGTGGTTCTGACATTGGAAAACCTTCAAATCGATCATCTCGGCCTTGACCATTATGGTTGTGAAAAAAAATTACGATTTTAAGCCCTAAAAATAGTGTATATTGTAACACATTATCTAGACTGTCCATTTCGCCCTAAAAAATAAGCGTTCATGATCCGCAAGATCTGTGTACCATTTTTTGAGCATCAAATTTCATAGTTGGTGTTGGAAATTGATTTTAGAGCCATCATGGTGATTTTCAATGTCCAAAGTACTCTTCGGATGAGGACTTGAGGTGAGTCTTTACTTCTTTTCATAAAGCCTGGGCCTTATAGAAATTGTTTCCTTAATTAAATGTGCAGAAGCTTTTTCGTTTGTTCGCCTGTGCGCTTTATGCATGTTTAAGGAAGAACCTGCACATAGGAATGGGGCTGGGGTCGTGGTAGTAGCATCCCCACACCTAGTCACCACATTATGGTTTCCATTTCTACCAATAAACCAGCCCCTTCAAAATCTAATTCCTAATCTACTTAAACAAACGAGTAGGGGCCTGTCTTTCCCACTGAATTACCCAAAAAAAAAGAAGAAGAAACTGCAGATCATTTGAGTTGGTTATTTTTTGTGGCTTTGTGTGTCAGCTTGGGTGCTTAAATACATTTTTATGGTTATTTTTTGTGGCTTTGTGTGTGTTAGCTTGGGTGCTTAAATACATTTTTATGTACATGGGTTCTTATTGGTATACATGCTCACAGTTTTGCGCATGTATATGTTTAATTTATGGGTGCAGTTTGCATACGGATGCATCCGT